ACATAAGAACTCAGTCAAAAAAGAGGAACCAACATCTTCCCTGGTCCAATACCTTAAAGCCACAGGACATTAAATTGACTTTAAAAATACCAGAACCATTGCCAAAAGTGAACATTTTAATAACAGAATAATCAGAGAAGCCATCGAGATAGAAAAACGCCAACACAGCATGAACAAGCGAGATGATACCTCCCGCCTACCAGCCATTTGGAAACCCGCCCTTATTGACAAACGACTCCCTAATACAAAAAATGATACCAGACCCACACTCACAAAAACCACACAGGATGTCACCACCACACAGCCACGCAAAACGCAAACCCAAAGCCACACCGATGATGAGGCACGACCACAAACCAGAAGCCAGACCAGAGCTGCATCATTAGCCACTTCAAAGCCCTCCAATCCATACACGAATCAAACTGACACCCTCCATGAAAATGAGGCACGACCACAAACGCGAAGCCAAAAAATAGCAAGGCAGCCCAAAATCTTAAACCCCTCTGCAACTCAGACTAACCTGAGCACAACCAAACATAACACTCCCCCAGCCAATCAGAGCACAGCCAACCCCCCAGCCAATCAGAGCACAGCCAACCCCCCAGCCAATCAGAGCACAGCCATGCCCCTAACCAATCAGAACACACCTCCACCCAATCAGAACACAGCCAAGCTCCCACCCAATCAGTTCATAACCCCACTGGCAGTTAAAAGGAAGAAACAGCTAAGACCACACATTGCTCCTCGAAGCACGAAGCTGAAAACACTAGCCTGAAGATGACGAATGGGACTCGTCGAAACGTCGCCAAGACACTTCCATTTAAAAAACCAGGCGGGAGAAAACCCGAACACTAAAGACCTACATACAACACCCGCGAAACCTCAGAAAACAAATATATATAATATATATATATATAATATATATATATCATATATTATATATTATATACTATTATGTTTTTCTGAGGTTTTCGCGGGTGTTTGTATGTAGGTCTTTGGTTGTTCGTGTTTTCTCCCGCGTAAAATTGGAAGTGTCTTGGCGACGTTTCGACGAAGTCCCATTCGTCATCTTCAGGCTGGTGTTTTCAGCTTCGTTCTTCGAGCAGCAATGTGTGGTCTTAGCTGTTTCTTCCTTTTAACTGCCAGTGGGGGTATGAACTGATTGGGTGGGAGCTTGGCTGTGTTCTGATTGGGTGGAGGTGTGTTCTGATTGGTTAGGGGCGTGGCTGTGCTCTGATGCTGTGCTCTGATTGGCTGGGGGTTGGCTGTGCTCTGATTGGCTGGGGGAGTGTTCTGTTTGGTTGTGCTCAGGTTAGTCTGAGTTGCAGAGGGGTTTAAGATTTTGGGCTGCCTTGCTATTTTTTGGCTTCGCGTTCGTGGTCGTGCCTCATCTTCATGGAGGGTGTCAGTTTGCTTCATGTATGGATTGGAGGGGTTTAAAGTGGCTAATGATGCAGCTGTGGTCTGGCTTCTGGTTTGTGGTCGTGCCTCATCATCGGTGTGGCTTTGGGTTTGCTTTTTGCGTAGATGTGTGGTGGTGACATCCTGTGTGGTTTTTTGTGAGTGTGGGTCTGGTATCATTTTTTGTGTTAGGGAGTCGTTTGTCAATAAGGGCGGGTTTCCAAATGGCTGGTAGGCGGGAGGTATCATCTCACTTGTTCATGCTGTGTGGGCGTTTTTCTATCTCGATGGCTTCTCTGATTATTCTGTTATTAAAATGTTCACTTTTGGCAATGGTTCTGGTATTTTTAAAGTCAATTTCATGTCCTGTGGCTTTAAGGTGTTGGACCAGGGAAGATGTTGGTTCCTCTTTTTTGACTGAGTTCTTATGTTCTTCAATGCGTGCACTTATTCTTCTGTTGGTTTGTCCGATGTATGTGGTGGGACAAGTGGTGCATGGGATTTCGTATACTCCTTGATTTTCTAATTCAATTTTATCTTTGGGGTTTCTAAGGATGGTGGATATTTTTCTGTTTGTGCAGAATGCTGTTTTGATGTTGTGTTTATGGAGGATCTTACTGATTCTGTCTGTGGTGCCTTTTATGTATGGGAGGAGGGCTTTGCCGTTTTCTTGTTCTTTGTCTTGGATTTTAGTGGGGGTTTCTTTTTGGATTAGGTTTGTAATCTTATTTCTATGGAATCCATTGGATGTTAGTACATTGGTGAGAGTGTGTAGTTCGGGTTTTAGGTGTTGTTCGTCAGCTAAGCGTTTTGTTCTGGAGATGAGTGTCTTGGCTACAGAGTTGATCTGTGCTGGGTGGTGGTGTGAGAGAGCGTGCAGATAGCGGTTTGTGTGTGTTTTCTTCTGTAGATGGTGTGTCCTAGGGAGCCATTGGATTTCTTGTAGACTAAGACATCCAGGAAGGGAAGTTGGTTGTTAGCTTCTGTTTCCATGGTGAACTGTATTTTGGGGTGTAGGCTGTTGAGGTGTGTGAGGAAGTTGTCCAGTTTTTCTTTCCCATGTGGCCAGATTATGAAGGTGTCGTCTACGTATCTGAGCCAGAGTTTGGGTTTGTTATCCGATTTTTCTAGAGCTTGGGTTTCAAAGTATTCCATGTAGAGGTTGGCAATGACAGGTGAGAGGGGTGATCCCATGGGTGCTCCTTCTGTTTGTTTGTATTTTTGTCCATTATAGATGAAGTATGTGTTGGATAGGCAGTGGTTGGTCAGATCTAAGAGGTGTTTGGGGGGGTTATATTTGTTTTGGATAGCTGTCAAGGCTTCTTTGATAGGCACTTGGGTGAAGAGGGATATGACATCAAAGCTCACAAGTAGGTCGCTGGGCTGTAAGTTTTGTTTCTTTATGATCTCTATAAAGTGGAATGAGTTTTTTATGTGTGAGGTGATGGATTCTGCATAGGGCTGTAGTTGTTTGGCGAGAAATTTGGCTAGGTTTTGTAGAGGTGAGCCTATGGAGCTGACTATAGGTCTGAGTAGGGTTCCTTCCTTGTGTATCTTGGGGAGACCATAGAGTTTGGGGCATCTGGATGATTTCTCTCTGGGAATGATTCTTTGCTGGATCTCTTCGCTAATGGGGGAGGCTTTTATTTTGGATCTGGTGGTTTTTTCCAGGTAGGTGGTGGGATCTGTATTTAGGGTTTTGTATGTGGAGTCTTGGAGTAGGTTGGTTAAGTTGGTTTGGTAGTCAGATGTGTTCATAACCACCGTGGCGTTGCCCTTGTCTGCTGGTAGGATTATTATGCTGGTGTCTTCTTTCAGGTTACGTAGTGCTGTCTGTTCCTCTTTGGGTATGTTGCTTTTGGGTGGCTTGCTGGTACAGAGGATCCGGAAGGATGGAAGGCTGAGTCAACCTTGAGCCGGTGAGATTTGAACCGCTGACCTGCTGAACACAGTCAGCTAAAGTGGCCCGCAGTACTGCACTCTAACTGCTGCGCCACCTCGGCTCATATTAAAAATGTAGGAACTCCCCTTCCCCCTGAGAGAGCGAGTCACACACACACACACACACACACACACACACACACACACACACGCAATTAAGTCCAGATAATTGTTGTGAGAGAAATCCTTCCTCTGCTAGGAACAATCCAGCAGGACCTTCCTTGCCAGACTAAACTGGTCCAAACACCTCGGATTGATCCCCCCTCCCACCTGCGTCTCTTGGCAAGCAACAAGATAACAAGGGCTGCACCACAAGAAGCTTGTTGCAATGTCAATTAAACATCAAAAGGGAATTATAAATTATAACCCATAAATGAAAAAAATGTATTAAAAAGAAGGTTGAAACTTAAATTACCGTTAAAAAGTTTGAAATTCTATAATAATGACAATTAAACATCAAAAGGGAAGAAATAGATCTGCTTCCTTCCCAAAGGTTCCATAATCTTCCTTCTCTTCCCAAGGTCCAAAGTTTTTCCTGCCCAGAAAAAGTTCCCTCCAGAAAATCCTTCCAAATATTATATGTTTTTTGCAAGGAGGGGAGAGAGCAGGAGGAATCCAGCTAGGTCTCTCCCCCTTGCCCAGGATGTAGATGCATTTCTTTACCATTTCTTTATTTATTCATCTTTTAAAACCCTCCCCCATCCTCTCTCACAGAGGGACTTTGGGTGCTGTGCAGATAAAATAGCACACCACAAAAATAGTCTATACAATTTAAGATCCAAAAGGCAAGAATGATTAAAATCCAGTGGTAAAATTTAATTCAAGGAGGGGGGGAGTCAGGATGCTGACCAGCCCCACAGCTGCCTCCTCCTCTGTGCCCCCCAAGCAAAGCCCCTGAGCCCCATTTCGACCCCTTTCTGGAAGGTCAGGAGGGGGGAGGGCTCCCTTCACCTCTGATGCCCAGGATAAAAAATTATCTTCCAAAAGTCTGGAAAAGGGAATGAGTGAAGGCTCTTTCATCTGCTGTGCCCTTTCCATTCACCTTTTTACTTCTTTTTATGCCTTCTTCTTTATTCAGTCTCATTTGTAGGTTTAAATCCCAAAACCACATAAAGGAAGCCAGTTAAAATTCATAATCATCACTCAAGCTTTAAACTAAGATGTAAACCCAATCACACAGAATCCTGTCTAGGGTTTCCTTTGCCTTGAGAGTAATATACTTAGATTTCACCAGGCATTGGGCAGAGGAGACCCCAACCTACTTCTTGATAAGCTAGAAAAAAGTGGGATAGATGGCATCACCCCCAGATGGATCTGTAGCTGGCTGACAAGCCTTACTCAGAGAGTAGCCCTCAATGGCACCATATCCGCATGGAGGGAAGGGGGCAGTGGGGAACCACAAGGCTCCGTCTGAGGCCCAGAAAAACTCAGATTCCCGACTCTCCCAGTTGAGCTGGAGCCCCCATGGGGTAGAATCACACTGGGGGTGGTTGCTGAATTAAGAGGAAATCTCCCCTCCCCCTCCATGCATCCTGTTTCCTGCCCCCATCTTTTAACTATACTTTTATCTTGATTGGGAGTTCCAGTTTTATTGCTATAGAAATATTTACCTGTTGTGTGTCCTCCCCCCTGTGTCCCTCCTCCCCTCCCCCCTCCAGCTAAGCCCACCGTCTCCATCTCCCCCACCAAGCTGGACCCCGCTTCCCCTAACACCATCCTCCTCTGCATCGCGAGGGGATTCTACCCCGTGGAGATCGAGGTCCGGTGGCTGAAGAACGGGCGGCTGGAGGAGGAGGGCGTGGCCTTCGGGGAGGAGCTCCAGAACGGAGACTGGACCTACCAGCTCCAGGTGATGCTGGAGACCCAGCCCCAGCGGGGGGACGTCTACACCTGCCAGGTGGGGCACGCCAGCCTGGAGGCCTCCATCACCGTCCAGTGGGGTGAGCCTCTCCCCTTCCCCTCTGGGGACCCTTTCCTGCCCTGAGAAGGGGGGAGAGACCCTCCCTGTGGGGGGGGAAACTGGCCCTGATCTTCCTACTCTGGTCTGGGGACCCCATCCTGCCCTTAGAAGGGGGGAGAGACCCTCCCTGTGGGGGAAGCTGGGATGGACCTTCCTGGGGGGGGGGGAAGCTGGCCCTGATCCTCCTACTCAGTGAGGCTCCTTCTCCTTCCCCAGAGCCCCGATCCTCCAACTCTGCTAGGAGCAAACTCTGGACGGGGATTGTGGCAGCCGTGATCGGGGTGATCTTCTTTGCCATGGGGCTCTCCCTCCACCTGAAGAGCAAAAAAGGTGAGTCTGGGGGGCTGGATGAGAGATTGTGGGGAGGGGACCATCCAGGGGAGGCCTCTCAGCAAGCTTAGCAGATGGCAAGGAGGCCCCCTTGGAGATTTGCTTGGGAAATTCTGTTCTCTGAGAGTCTACTGCATAAGTGAGCATCCTGCAACCTATTATGGGCTATTGATGGGGAGGGAGACACCCTGAGTGCTCCAGCCTATGAAGGGTCCTGATTGGGTCTTTTTCTCCTTCCAGCAACTCCCATCCAGCCTCCTGCAGGTGAGTTTCTCCCCAAGTTATAGATGTTTCTTTAACATTTGTAAATTGAAGTCTCCTTGTGTCATTTCAAGCAATTTCTGGCAAAGTGACACCCGGCTTTGCTGCCATGCCCCATCCTGGCCCCATCTTCTTTGTCGATATGAAACGTCTGGGGGAGGCCTCATCTCTTGATCAACCCCCTAATTAAATCATTTGAGGAAAATTCCATGAGCCCTGGGAGATTAATCACTGGTCCTTTGCCTCCTTTTGATCCCTGAAAGGGGCGGAGCCTCCCTCCATCCTGTGTCTGCCATTCAACCACCCCCCTGCAGTGTGGGCCTGTGGGGGGGGGCAGCTGAAAGAGAGGAATAATAAGTTATTTACACTGAAGGTTTCACTTTGTATTCTAATTTTCTTTCCCGTCTCTTTTTCTACAGAACTCATGAATTAATCTGCCGTCCTTCCTGATTCCTGATTTTTTTTCATTAGCTGACAGAATTTCTGACTTTTTGCAACCTCTGAAAAATGGAGGCTCAAGATTTTAGATTAGGGAGAGGAGGTGAATGGCAGCCTGGAGCTTCTCCTGCTGAGACTTCCCTGGCTTTCCTTTGAAGTCCACTGTTTCTAGTGAGGGAGGGGTGGAGACCATCTAGACTGACCCCAGGGACTGTGGGCCTGCCTGTCAATCCAGACACCCAAATATCTTCTGGCTTTAAATCCACAGCAGTTTCATCTCCATTAGTCTTCCTACGAATCTCTTCCCTTCACTTTGCTATAAAAGAATAAACTTTAAATTGTAGAAAAACCCTGGAATTTTCTTCATTCCTTCCTTCCTCTTCCTCCTCCTCTTTCCTCCCACCCCTCAGAGAGTCCTCCCTTCTCCCCTCCCACTCCCCGGATTGAGGCCTCCCCTGTCTCTGGATTGACCATCCCGGCTGGTTTAGGTCCGAAGCCAGAACCGGTTCGGGAGGAGGGTGGGCAGATCCCAGGGAGGGGAAGGGGCAGGACCCCCTCCTCAATCTCTCCAAGCCCTGCCAGAGGGAGGGGACCCCTGGGAGACCCCCTATTCCGGCTTCCCCCGGAGAGCCTCTTCCGTGGCTGAGAAGCTGCTGGAGCTGGAGGTTCTCCTGGCTTCATCCGGGCCTCTTTCTCCAGGATCGGAGCCGGATTGAGCCCCTCACAAGCCCGGGGAGGCTCTTGCAATATTTGCACCCAGCGGCCCCCTCCCTCCCTCCCTGTTCGGGGCCCTGATCCCCTCACCCCCCTCCAGACGAACTCACCCCCTGTCCATCTCCCCCCCCCCCAAAAAGGTGCCAGGGCCGGGGAGGGCGGAGAGCAGGGCGGCCTCCCTGGGGACGGAGGGGAAACTTCCCTCCCGACAGCCCAGGATTGCCTTCGCTTTGTCTGCCGGTGGATGAAGTCACAAAGGACTCTGCCCGGAGACCGATGACGCTGCAGGAGGGAGAATTCCCATTGGTTCCTCTCTTTCAGGGCATTTCCAGTTCTGAATTCCGAGGAAAACGCCTCCCCCGTCCCTAGTCCAGACCCCCCCCGATTCCGCCTCTGGGACTGGGGGCGTCCCTGGGCTCTCCCTGATGCTGCTGCTGGGGGGGGGCGGCGCTGGGCCTGATTCCTGGAAGCGAAGTGGGGAAGGAAAACCCCGGTAAGGAGGGGCTGGGAGGGAGGGGCGGAGGGGCTGGAAGGGACCCTCAGGGGTCCTGGTGGAGGGGGAGAGGAGGGCGCTGGGACCCCAGACGTGACTTTGGGAAAGGGGTCGAGGGCAAGAGAGCCCGCAGGAGCCTCCCTCCCTCCCCACATCTCCCCAGGAAGACGGAGAGAGACCCCCACTTTGTTGGTTGGGACCGAGGTGGGGAGGGGGTCATGGGGAGGCAGCCCAGGTGGGATTTTCTAGGGGGGAAATCTAGTTTTTCGTATCTGAGTATCCAAAGAATTCTCTCTGGCCGCTGTGGGGTCCCAGTTGCCCCCTCCCTCCAGGCAGGGATCCCGATTGAAGCTCCCACCCCCGAGACACCAGGGACACCCCCGCACAACCCCCCTGCAGGGGAGCCCACCGGTTCTCGCCCCCCTTGAGGCTGCTCTCCCCGAGGAACATCTTTCCAAGGGGGGGTCACCATTTCTTGCCTCCCCCCCTCCTGGCAAAAAAGTTCCCCCTGGGATACGGAGGGTTTCCCTCCTCCTCCTCCCCCCCTCCAGAGCGAGGGACGGAGCAGGAAAGGGCCGCTCTGCACCAGGGAGCCCTTTTCCCGGCCGGTTCCCAGGACGGAGAGTGAAACGAGGAATCGGTCCAGATCACGTCAGAGCACAAACTGCACCCGGGAGAGAGAGGTGGGGGGTGGGAGAGAAGGGAGGAAGGAAGGAAGGAAGGAAGGAAGGAAGGAAGGAAGGAAGGAAGGAAGGAAGGAAGGAAGGAAGGAAGGGAGGGAGGGAGGGAGGGAGGGAGGAAGGAAGGGATTTCCTCTTCCTTCTCCCTCTGATTTCCCCCATTGAGATCCACAACAGCCATTCTTGAACCAAAACCGACCTGCTATTTCAATGGGACAAAATCCCCACAGCGCTGGGGGCAATTCCCCCCCCGCCCGGCAGCCCCTTTTCCAGGAACGAAGGGGGTCCAAGCAGAGGCATTTGGGAGGGGCGGGGGGCACTGACGCCAGATGTGAGGGTGGGACGCTCCCACGCACGATGGAGATTTGGCTTCTTTTTAAATGCGGGGCCAGGAAACGCGTCTCTGTGGGTCTGAAGTGCCCAAGGACACCTCAATCAGCCGCCTCAGAGACCCCCAAGTCCCCCTGGCTGCGTGGCTGCGCCTCCCCTCCTGCAGGCAGGATCAAGGAGGGGGGAAGACAAAATGAAATCCAGACTCCCCTGCAGGGCTGCTCTGAAACACCCCCTTGAGCTGCAGCCCCCCAAGACTGAAAGGATCCCCCAATTCAGACCCGCCCCCAAGTCCTCCTCCCTCAGTTCCCCCCTCCCCTCCAGGTCCCGACTGAGCAATGGGGGATTATGGAGGGTGGGGGGTTCTTGGTCTCCTCCCCAAATCTAGAGTCTCCCCCAGAAGGGACCGAAGCCCACTCTTGCGGGACCTTCAAAGCCTCAAATTGGAGATTCAGAAGAAAAAGTGAAGTTTCCGAAGAAACAAAAATACATTTGCTAAAATGCATCTTTTTCTTTGTGTGGGTTCAGGTCGGAAAGTTTCCCTCTTTTACTTTCGCTTTCCGCCTCCTTCCTCTTTCGATGCAGCTGACTCTGACCCAGATATTGGGGGGGGGGGAGACCGAGAGACGAGCCCGGCTGCGACTCCCTACCTCGGCTAAAATTGGGAAAGAGCGGCTCCCTTACGTCCCCCTGGGGGGGATGTGGGGAGAAAGGGGGAGGAGACCATGCAGAGATAGAGGCTTTTGCAGATTTCCACCACTCTTACCCTCGACCAGTTTCCCAAAGTATGTCTGGAGATCCAGCAGATTTCTTCCTCCCCCCTCCCCCAAGAGTATCAGGGGTGCCTCCCAACCATATCCTCCCCCCAGCCCAGCCCCCTCCTTACCGGGGGTCTCCTTCCCCCCTTGGCTTCCAGGGATCTGGGCCAGTGCTCCCACCAGCAGCAGTATCAGGGGGAGCCCAACAGAGGCCCTGGATGCTGCCCCACAAGAGCCCCCAAAGAGAGGGGAGAAAGACGCGGAGTCTCCCAGCCCCAGAGGCAGAATCGGTGGGTCTGGATGGGGAGAGGGGGCGTTTTTCTGGGAGGGCTCAGCAGGAAGTGTGCACTTCTTTTGGGGTCCTGCCCCTGCATGATTCTCAACCACTCTTCCTTTCTTGAGTCTGGCAAGTCTAAAGAAAAGAAGAAATAGGGGTGACATGATAGCAGCATTCCAGTATTTGGGGGGCTGCCACAAGGAAGGGGGGTGAAGTCAAATTATTCTCCAAAGTACCAAATGGCAGGCCAGAAACAATGGATAGAAACTGACCAAAGAGGGAAGCAACCTGGAACTAAGGAGAAACTTCCAGACACTGAGGACAAATAAATAGGGGAACAGCTTACCTCCAAGAGTTGTGGGTACTCCATCACTGGAGGTTTTTCAGAGGAGACTGGACAGTTGCTTGTCTGAAAAAGTATAGGTCAGTGGTGGTGAACCTATGTGTGGATGCTGCTTCCGGAAGTCCATTCTGGGCTGGGCAACAAAAAATTAGCTACCGGTTCTGCCAAAGTGGTGTGAACTGGCTGAATCCCACCACTGCATTAAGCTCATCAATTATTGCTTTGGTATAGTTTCCTAATACTTTAACTATGGCTAGTTACCTTTCAACAGGAAAGGGAGAGGGGAGTCGAAAATCGGGGTAAAGTTTCTGTTTGCGAACGGCCACGAAATTGCAAAACGAATGTCTATTTTGAATAACAAAAAGGGGTACAAATATCTCCAGAAATACAGAGCCGTTCAGTCCCAACAAACCAACCGCTGCTCCTCCACAGCTTGCCTCTTTGCTTTCCTTCTATTTCGGTCACTTTGGGCTCCCATAGCAGAGGTGGCACTCAGAGCCCTCTCTGTGGGCACACATGCCATTGCCCCAGCCTCACCTCCCCCGTGACCCCTTCCTCTCCAGAAGCCACCCTGAAGGAGAGTCGCCCCTGAGTATGACCCACACGGAGCAGCACAGCCAATGATATGGCAGCCAAGCAGCATAGACAAAACTCTTCCCTCACACCCCATCGTGCACAGTTGATGCTGCAGAGTGCAGGCAAAGGGCATGACCGCCATAGCGCTGCTGGGCTGCCTGGGCAATCTGCAGCGGACCCTGGAGGTGGTGAGTGGCCCTGCGGGCAGGCAGGGTGGGGGACGGGTTGAGGGCAGGGCTGAGGTGGAGCTGAGGCAGTGCCAGTTTTTGGGCACTCGGTCTCTAAAAGGTTCACCATCACTGGAATAGGTTCTCCTGTTCAAGCAGGGGGCTGGACTAGAAGACCTACAAGGTCCCTTTCTATTCTATTCTATTCTATTCTATTCTATTCTATTCTATTCTATTCTATTCTATTCTATTCTATTCTATTCTATTCTATTCTATTCCAACCTTACAGTATTTTCTTTCAACACCTTTAGTAAAGTTGATTTTCATTTCAATCCGGGAGTTGATCCATGGCCTTCTTGTACTTGCCTCAGCTTGGTTGAGCTACTGACTCTCCAAGCCAGACCAGGATAAATTTTATCTTCAATCCTCTTCAATCCAACTGTCTTAAATACCCATATGCCAAACCTGTCAGGAAGTTACAGGCTATAAATAAATGTCTGCTACTGGAAATTCCTCACCAGAAGTCAGAAAGTCTGTCCACACCTCAGCCCAGAGAAGCTGGAACTGGAGGCTGTGAGAGAGAGGAAGCCATGAAGAAGGAAGCCATGTCATCTTCACTTACTCTCTTCTTTCCAGTAGGACCCATAATGTGGGGGAATGGAAATACCAATTCATAAAGAACTATGAAAGAGATGAGATTCAGACCTCACTAATTATCTTTGAAGATATCCGCCAAGCTTACAGCATTATAAAGCCCAGGAAATGAATCATATAGGTCTTGTCTTGAGGAGTGGCTTAAGCCAAATATTGGTTGACATGTGTGCTGAGGAAAAGGAGGAAAACCAATAGTTTAAAAAACATATTTATTCATTCATTCATTTGTTTGTTTATTATTTATTTATTAATGTATTTGATGATTATCTTGAATTTTAATTTAACTAACAAACTTCACATATTTATTTCCTTCAGTTTTAATAAGCATAAGTTGCAAAGCAAATCCAAACAAAGAAT